TATCATTGAGCTACACCCCAGCCATAGGTTTGTTTTTTTTTTTAAGAAGGAAAAATTTATTGAGAGATCGCTTCTGCCTAAGAGAGACAGAAGGGGACCACCAGAAAGTGGGTTGCCTGCCCATCCTGGTTCTTGAAGGTGTTTGCTGGGACAAAGCCACAAGGTGAGGCAGGTTCAATGTGGAACAAAACTATAGTCAACTTGTAAGATTACAAGTACAGTTGCTTAGGTAATACTAACCCAATGAGAAATCACATGGTAGACAAAACTATGAACAAGCGATAAGATTACAAGTATGGTTGCTTGGGTAATAAATAGGGATACAAGGGGAAGCACATCACGTAGCTAGCAGGAATGAGCAAGGTTTTTCTGTGGTAAGGGGTGGGTCAGGAATCTGTTTTGGAAGACCTTGGTCTCCCACCCAGGTGACTGATACCTATTTAGAGTATCAATTACTGCTATTCATGCTGTACAGGTGTGGTAGTTTCTCTTCTTTTATAATGGTGGCTTTCAGTGAATGTGTCCAGATCGTCCTCCATGTTGGATCCTCAAGAGCCAGCCCTGACTACAAAATATCTATTTAGCTTACTACCTACAATACCCCCCCATGGAGTACCCCTTACTGCTATGAGAGGGAAAAGGGTGAAAACTATTCTGGATATTTTGTCTGAAGAGGGTTGTACTGTGATCTGCAGTCAGTTACTCTACAGAGGGTCTGTATAAAGGCCTTCAATAGGCACCAGGCATTGTCATCTTGGGTAGGTGTATAGCTTTGAGTCTGGAGGAGACAAAGCCAAAGAAGCAGTTAAGAATGCATGGGCCAAATAATAAGGTCATCAGGATTGGTATGAATATAGCCAGCAAGTGTTTCCACCAGGAAGAACTAGTAATTACCTCCCACAAGGAAGAGAAGATCCAAGGGACTTCAGAATCCTACACAGAAGTCACATTGTAATTTAGCAGTTATGGGATCAGGCTGATATATAGTTGTGTTCAGTGTCTATTAAGGCTGGCATCATCTTTTTTATTCTTTAGACTATAGCTTCTTGAGGTACAGTAGCTTTGGTCTTTTAGGTGGTTCTCTGTACTTCCTCTATTCCTGCAGGTGTCCCAGAAGTCTAGAGTGTTTACCAGGGCCTTCTTTGGCTAGCCCTGAACCTGTTTTGTCCCTCAAGCCCCATGAAACTACCTATTGCTCTGCTGAACTTCCTTTTAAAAGTTTTATTTTTGATTGGCATATAATAATTATACATATTTATAAGTGTACTGTTTGAGTAAGACCTCAAAAAACTACAAATAACCTCATTAAAAATAAGCAGAAGACCTACATAGACAGCTCTGCTCAACTTATTAGCTGTTAGGCTGTCATTCCCAAATTAATCAGTGTCTGAGTAGATCAGAAAGGTTATGCTGAACATTAAGTCACCTCGGTGCTTTTCTTCCCCCTGAAATGGTGAGCCCCTCAAGGTCTTACCCACTCAGTAGCTCTCCAATCCTTTTGAATAGTATTCTTGTTTTAATCCAGTGCTTTATTTTATCTTGGCAGGAGAACCAACAAATCTGACACAAAGTAGTGTGGTGGACCACCAAAAAGATCAAAGCCACTGTACCTCAGGAGCTTGTTTTAGCCTGCCTGTGTGGAGCAACACAGAGCTGTCTCACCCTCCAGTCACCTGGTGTCTACATTGAGCTCTGAGAGCAGTCAGCGTGGATGACTTCTACCCAGGACACCTGGCACATAGCAAGAGAACTTGGTAGATGAAGCCTATGCAGTCAGCTCCTTCCCACCAGACAGATCTCAGCCCAAAGGCCCCTCCTGAGAGCAGCCACCCTGGACAACTCTGTCCTTGGTCCTCCCTCATGTACTGCCTGTAACCTGGTCTGAAACAACCTCTCTTATCCAATGGGTTATTCGTCTAATGAATGTAACCCTCCCCCTGCCTCGTGACCCCTACCACTGCCACATAAAAACAAGGGCCTTGATCTTTTCGTCCCCATAGTATGTACTCAGGTGCCTCCTATAGTGCCTGACATACTCAGGCATACCACACTGGTTTGTTGCATAAATGAACAAAAAACTAAAAAAATGATCAAATTACAAAAGAGTAAATATACAGAAGCATGAAAAGGTAAAAACCCTACGAGGACCATCTTTCACACAAGCCCTTTGCAAACAGCACAGTCCTTTTCCTCACTCTTCATTTCTCAGCTCCACCACCTTCCCCATACTCTGTTGTCACACCTTCCAGATCTCACCTTTTTTCCTCAAAAAAACCACCCATCTCCACAAAAAGCTCATTGCTTTGTCCAATCTTTCAGAACTGATCAATGCCTTTGGTGTTTTTCAGGCAGGTTCTGTGGCTTCCTCTGCTCTGTCTGAGCTGCTGGAGAGGAAAGTGGTCAGAGTAGAGTCCCACAAATGAGGGTGAGTATAACTGTCCCGCATAGCCATTTCTCTGTACTGTCATGCAGAATTTTTCATGGCTCTGTAGAGTCCAAGCTCCTATGTAGAGAAAGCTTCTCATTTCTTTTGTGACCATGATTTGCACCAGAGCTTTAAGAACAATCCTCTCCCATTCACCATTCAACCTTCTTGGTGCTATATCAAAAGACACTACATTTGACATTCACTGTATTTCTAAGAGATGGCATCAGCTTCCACAAGTCAGTTTCCCTAGCTTGCTCTGACTCTAGTTTTCTGAATTAAAAGGTAAAAAAGGGCCACTGGCCTGTTTACAGCCAGTGTCAGCCCTCAGCACTAGAGTGTGCTGCCTCAGTTCTCCCACTGACATTGCATGGTCAGTCTCTACTTTGGAAACTTTTGTTGTCTCCTCTATGACTTCCTGTTGCTGTGAGGACAAAATGCAGTCCTCTGAGGGATCTGGCCCATGCCTGCCTCTTCAGCTTTCTCTTGCCTGTGCCCCTGGCCAAGATCTACCAAGCTTTTTTTATTTCCTAAAAAACATTCAGCCTGATTTCATTTAGGAGCCATTGTAAGCATTTCACCTGCCCCATCCCTCTTTCCCCTTACCTTAGCTTTCTTCTCCTCATCTTTCAGAACTCAGTTTATTGGCCCCTTTCTTACAAAGTATACCCTTCCCCCAGGATATACTGAAAGACACCCAGAATAAGCTGGGTTTTTTTTGTTGTTGTTGTTTTTGGTACTGGGGGGTTCAAACTTGGGTCCTTGCGCTTGCAAGACAGGTAGCAGAACCAGTAAGCTAAATCCCTGGCCCAGAATAAGTTTGTTATAATAATCTGTTAACAGATCCACCTCTCTGGCCAGGCCACGGGGTGGGGAGGACATCATTAATTTTGTTGTTGTTGTTCTTCATTCATGCATTGGCTTGTTTGTGTCTGTCTCCCTCACCTGGTGATGACCTTGATGAGATCAGGAGCAATATTTTTTGTCTACTATTCTCAATGTGCAACAGAGCAACTGGCACATAGTCGGTCCAAAGTTCAACACAGCCCCATTTTTCTCTCATCACCACCACCACCTAATGTCCAGTGAACACTGTGTGAGTTGGCTCTGTGCTAAGCATTCATAGACTACATCATTTAATTCTCACAGTCACTGTATGAGACTGGTACAATAGTCCCCCTTTATCTATAGGGAACATTCTAAGACCTTCAATGGATGCCTAAAACCTAGAACAGTACTGATCCCTATATATGTGTTTGTATTTATCAAGGTATACAATACATATATGGTTTGGTATACATATATGTATGTGTTTGTTCCCATACGTGCACACTTATGACAAACTTTCACCTTTTTACTTAAGTTTGACTATGGCTTTTCTTTGAGGTATCTGAATTGCCAGCATAACTAACTTTGTACTTTGAGACCATTCTTAAGTAAACTGTGAATTACTTGAACACAAGCCCTGCAGCAGTCATTCCGATAGCCAAGAAAGTTACCACCTAGAGGCAGTAGTAGATACTACATGGAGTCACTAGACAAAGAGTTGATACATGTCCTGGGTGAAATAGAGCAAAATGATACAATATTTCATCAAACCAGAATGGTGCATGATTTTAAAACTTATGAATTATTTATTTTTAAGAGATTCCATTTAATATTTTTGGACCACAGTTGGCCAGGAGTAACTAAAACCAATACATAAGAGAGGACTCCTGTACTCCTATTGTATGAGGTAAGAACTGTTACCAGCCCATTTTACAGATAAAGACAACAGGACACAGTAGCTCAGCCAAAGTACAGACAGAAAGTTTCAGAATCATAAAGGCATTCAAACTCAGGCAGCGTGGCTCCAGCACCTTAACCCATACTCCAGACTATCCTTATCACAACATTTATTCCAAGTGCTGGAGGTGTCTCTGCCCTTCTTCTGTGTTTTTCCCAGAGGAAAGCAAAGCAGGAAGAAATGAACCAAGAACCTTTTAATTGTTCAGCTAATATCATCCACCAGGTGGCAGTCACAGCTCCTAGATAAAATCCAGCTACATTGTGTAGCTCCCCACCCACTTCCCTCCTGTGAGAAACTTGATTTTTATTATTACCAAGAGGTGAGCAGCCTAGATTCAAAGCACAACTCTCTGACTGAGCTTCTTGAAAATGGCACTTGGAGAATGTGCTTGTCCCATTTGCATACATACACTATGGGGCTAGTGGCCCAGGCCACCGGGCACAAGAGTGGGTGGACAGCCAGGGTTCCCTTGGATAGTGCACCACACAGAATGCAGGATCCACTGTGTAAGATGTAATGCCAGTCCATAGAAAAGATGATTTCCTCCTCCCTCCCCAACTTCTCCTCAAGCAGCTGCTAGAGCTGCAGGGAAAACGAAAGCATACTTATTCCTAGTCACGACTCCATTTGGCCAGTGGCAGGCATGGGGACATAGGGTTCCCTGAGGAAACATCCTCATATGACTGTCAGAGAAGGGCCTTCCCGCATCATCTGTGTTTGAAATGCTTTTCCTTGGCCTTCCGCTACTGCCACACATTCTGGCCACTGCTTCTGTGTTCCTGGGCCTGAAAGAAGTATGATTCCAAGTGGGGGCTGGGGGTCCTTGCTCATAAGCTACCCCGCCATTCACAAAGCTAAAACCCAAGAGGGAAAGTGGCCCAGTTCCATGTGAGGGTGAGAGGGAAAGTTTGTTCTTTAGAATGAAGAAAGTGTCATATTAGTTCAAACAAATGTGTGTTGTTTTAACCCTCAAAATGTAATATAACAATTGTACTATAGTAGAATTGAATTCTTACATTTCACTCAGAGGATATGATAATGGTACTCAAGTTTAAAGGTGCCTGACAGCTAAATCTGTTTTCATTCAAATCAATGAATCTGTAAGGCTATTGCTCAACCTCAGGTAATGTCTACTATCTCCATCTTCAGCCTTTAGGAATAGGAAAAACCAAGCCCCACAGGAACAAGACCAACACTAAGTTAGGACTGAATGGACAAGAGGCTCTATCCCTGTGGGTTGCTGAAAAATGATTCTTACCTGGTAGTAAGAAAATTGCACACCCAACCACACTACCCCACATGCTCCTCTGCTGCTTCACCACCACTAAACCAAAATGACCATGTATTTGACTCCTAGTTTTTTAGCTTAATTTCCTGTGTAATTATTTCTAACTCATTTTCCTCCCATAATTTCTCTTCAAATTAAAATAATGCCTAATCAGAATTAGAATCTGTGTAGTGTATCTGAACACCATGCACTACTTGTTAAAACAGACTGCACTTTCAAACGACCAAAGAATTTTAATGAGACTTCAGAGGACGTGGGGAACAGTACTAAAAGTCTCTTTGTAATCAATATCTTTCTTCTGTGTTTCCAAGCAGGATTAAAATAAGTTGTTTGCAGCTATTTCATGAAGGCTTTGCCTTTGCTAATGGGCTCCAAGGGAAAAGGATTAGTAATGCATTGTACATTGTATTTCCTCCCAAAATAGTAGAGCGTGTGGGATTTTGCCAACACTCAGTTGGTTCACATATGTCTTCCTCATTGCCCATATTCCCTCCAACTTGCCTGCATGCTACTGTCATCATCCACCAAAATACACCAATATTACTCACCAAGACTACTGCTTTCACCTCCTAAATTGTTCTTTCACCCACCCCACATTGAGGTCTCTGCACAATTGCCAGAGTGATCACAAATTAGCTCATGTTTCTCCCTTGCAGCCTCTCTGCAGTGGCTCTTCCCTAAACCAATTTGAAAATGAAATTGTTTTAAGACTTACAGTAAGAGTTCAAATTATGAAACTACTAGAAGAAAACTTAAGGGAAATGTTTCATGGACTAAGCAAGGAATTTTTGAGCAAGAGCTCAAATACCATGGCAACAAAAGCAAAAACAGACAAGGGGGATGAAACCAAATTTAAAACCTTCTGTGTGGCAAAGGAAACAGTGTGAAGAGACAAACTCCAGAAAGGGAGAAATCATTTACAATAATATACAGTAATAATGAGTTAATATCAATGATACACCAGAAACTCAAACAACCTACTTAAAAATAGGCAGAAGACAGACCTAAGAAGACATCTCTTAAAAGAAGACATACAGATGGTCAGTAGATGTATGAAAAATGCCAGCATCACTAATCATCAGGGAAATGCAAATCAAAACCACAACAGGAGTTAGAATAGCTAATATAAAGGATAGGAAGATGTGGAGAAAAGAGAAAACTTGCAAACTATGGAGGAAATGTAAGTTAATATAGCCATGTGGAAAGCAGTATAGAGACTCCTTAACAACCACAAAATTAAAAATAAAGCTGAAATAAAATCTTAAGTCTCCACCCTAGTCAGTAAGCCCCGGCCTTATGTGATGCTTTCACCTCACTCAGCTCTGCTCCTGCCCCACCTCCCCAGTCCTACCACACTGCTCTTCATGCATATTTATCGAGCTCTGTCTTGCCTGGGTACCTTCACACATGCTATCTCCTCTGCTCAGGGTACTTACCCCAGCATGGCTTGTTTTGTCTCATTATTTAGATTTCATCTATCAGAGAAAGCATCTCTCAACTCCCAGTTCAAGTAGACATATTATTTCCTAGTTTCCTCCAGACTGTCCATTCTTATTCTCCTCACCACATCTAGCATTAACATTTTCTTGATTCCTTGCTAATTATTTGATTTTTTTCCTTCCAGAATGGAAATGCAAACAGGACAAGGACTATTCACATTTTGTCCTCACGATATCCCAGAGGCTAGGACAGTGCAAATGCTTATTAGCTGAATGATTAAGTGAACAAGAAAATTCCCTGATGTAATTCCTTTATGCAGGTTGACAACTTTGGCTAACAGTTATCAAGTTCAAAATTCAGATTTATGGATCCATGTGTAGTCAGCTCTCTGTATCTCAGGTTTCTGTCTGCAAATTCAACCGAACTTGAATTAAAAATTTTCAGAAAAAGTTGCATCTATAGTGAATATGCACAGTCTTTATTCCTTGTCATTATTCACTAGCCAATATAGTTTAACAACTATTTACATTGTTTTAGGGGTTGTAAGTAATCTAGAGATGATTTAAAGTACACAGAAGATTTGTGTATCTTATATGCAAACACTGTATCATTTTGTATCAGGGGCTTGAACATCAGTGGATGTTGGTGTCCTGGGATGGGGGTGGAGTATGTCCTGGAACCAATGCCCAGTGAGTACCAAGAGCGAGACATTATCTCCTAAGTTCCTCCAAACAACTCCCCAAGATGGGTGTGGGCAGTCATATTTTCCTAAGACCCAGAGAGCTGAAATAACTGGCCAAAAGCACACAAACACACACACACACACACACACACACACACATACACACAGTTTGCACCCAAGAGTTCAAATCCAGGCCTTTGTCTCAAAATGTAAATGCAAAGAGGACATAGACTTTGCCTGTTTCTTCCTCATAGTGCCCTTGGGACCTAATAATGAATAAATATTTGTTGAAGAGTGGATGCCTGATTGATTGGATGAATATGCAAACTTCTGGATAAAATTATCTCTCTGGGATGAAGGCAGATTCTTAAACTGCAATTCTAGCCTCCGGGGCCTGGCTGCCTGGTCTGTGTAGGCCTAAAGAGGAGCCAGCTCTTCCTTTACACTTTCTCTGCTTGCCCTAGAGCTGGACTGGAGCAGGCTCAACTCAGGAGGCCCGGCCATGACACACCCCTAGCTGTATTCCCCCAACACTAGAGCTTTCTTAGCAACCAAGTACTTGCTACTGAGAAGTGGTGTGCAACTGACGTAATAGCTGCCTAGAAATGCAGTCTTGGGCCTCCAGTGTTGCTGCATTTTTACAAAATCCCCAGGGGAACTTGCTGCACATTAGCTTAAGGCCTTCAGAACTTCCTATATCAGGAATTCCAATCTCTATTTTCCTCCTGAAAATGTCTAAGCCTTGGGGCCGTATTAGCTGTCAGGCTCTCCTCTTACAGCAAAGAAATCTCCTTAATGGCAACTTTGAGAAGCAGTCTCAGAGAGAACTCACCTTGGGACCCTATTAGTCACTTATTCAGTGACCATTTATTAAGCACAAACTGCACACCAGGCACATGACAGACCCTGCAGACCCACTTAAGAGCAAGATGATATTTGTCTTCCTCTTCCCCTGCCAGAAGGTAAACGTGATACATAATGAAAATTACACATTGTAGTAAGTGCTAGTCAAGAAGTGGGCTTCTGATAACAAATAAGGTGATAATGAAGAGGCTATTGCTGTGGTTTAAATGTAACCTCCAAACTAATCTTGAAATTTGCCAATGAAACAGTATTCAACTGGGGTAAGGTGTCACCTGCCTATAATCCGAGCTACTGAGGAGGCTAAGGCAGGAAGATTGGAAGTTTGAGGCCAATCTGGGAAACTTAGTAAGTCCTGGTTTCAAAATAAAAAGGGCCAGGGATGTACTCAGTAGTAAAAACCTTAAGTTTCATCCCATCATGGCAAAGAAGGTGGGAGAGAAGAAAGGGGGAGGAGGAGGACCATAGTGGGGTCTTTAATAGCGGATTAGGTTTGGAGCTTTGCCATCAAGAGTGGATTAAAGCTGCATCTTGCAGTTGGACACATCCTAAGAATGGCTTTATTACAGTCTGGGTCCCTCTTGTCCTCTGCTGCATGTTTCCTTGCCTTTCCACCGTGTTACAACATAGTACCGAGAATTTTGATGGACACCAGTGCCACGCCCAGCCTCTGGAACCACGTGCCAAGTAAGTTTCATTTACCCAGTCTGTAATACTCTGTGATAGCAATAGAAATAGGACTAAGATGAGGTCTTCAGAAAGGAATGGAAGGCCGGGGATTTAGCTCAGTGGTTCTGCCGTCTGCCTCCCAAGCAGAAAGTCCCGAGTTCAATCCCCGATACCCGCCACCAAAAAAAAAAAAAAAAAAA